GTAAGGGGAGCTCTTTAGTGCAAGTAAATGAAGGAGGAAGTTGAGAAGTGTTCTCCTTGTTTGTCTTCACGTGTGAGGAGTTTATTGGTAAGCTGAAAAAACATTAATGAAATTCCTCTTGTTTTCTCAAAGTGATGACCCACATAGGTCTGCCTCTGGAAGAGGATGGTAAGCTATGCGGATCAGGATGAGATTTGTATGATCTCTGCGAATCATCGGTGTTTGCCCGTTCCATAAACCGCATAGCATCGTAGAACTTCCAACGTTTCGCTCTTTCAGGTTCAGTGTCGAAAGTTTTGATGATGCGCCAGTAGTTATCCTTTAAATTCTTCCATGTTTTCTTCATGTCCTCAGCTGTAAGGAGATGTGGTTATTTATTCTTGTTTTGAAGTTTGACACTGAACGACAGGTTTTTTAAAATGTAACAGAGAGTGCATGATAAATTTTGTTCAAATGAATCCAGCTTAATTTTTTGAAGAAATTCACTTTCTTAGTAAAAAGGCAATGACTGAGCACTAAATCAGTAAAAAATATGTGAAATGAAATAGGGAATAAGAAACAAGTAACTTAATATGAAGATTCACAAAAGCAATTATTTGTCAAAAAATTCTGTGATATACAAAAGAAAAATTGATCATGCTGGAATTTTGGGCCCTTTATTGCTGTTAGTGGCATAGCATTCGAAATTGTGAGAGTTTGTGCAATAGCACGGTGTGGGTGCAATTGCGAAGTTTGTTACCTTTCCCTATAATTTCTGACTATTTTTATTTGGAAGCCGAGATTATGGAGGTACTTACTGTCAATTAGGACTCCGAATTGCTCACTGAGCTCATCGGCCACTTCTCCCCAAAGTTTTGCTCTCAAATCGGTATCATGACTAATCACGGGATATTTCTTCCAAAGTTTCTCACGTTTCTCCACGCTTCTGACTAGAGCTTCACGCAACGGGCTCGTCCAGTGATAGCGAACTGTGAGAGACATTTAGAATCTATAACAATAAACCTGGAATTGTCTGGAAATCAAGTCCTGAAAGAAGCTCGTCGCTCAAAATATCGTCATTTCTTTTCTAAAACACTG